ATTGTGAGAATAAAATCAGAATTCTGAGAAAAAAGTCAGAATTGTGAGATTGAAGTCAGAATTGTGACAAAAAGTCAGAATTGTGAGATTGAAGTCAGAATTGTGACAAAAAGTCAGAATTGTGAGATTAAAGTCAGAATAGTGAGATTAAAATCAGAATTCTGTGAAAACAGTCAAAATTGTGAAATCGAAGTCAGATTTCTGAGATAAAGTCAGAATTCTGAGAAAAAAAAATCAAAATTGTGAGATCGAAGGCAGAATTGTGAGAAAAAAAGTCACAATTCTGAAATTAAAGTCAGAATTGTGACTTTTTTTTCTCATAATAATAAAATGAAATGTAAAAATCAGTTAACTTTTTATTATTTCAGTGGCCTCTTCCGTATGATTGAGACATCCAAATAAGATACTCCCAGAATCAAAACACAGGGATTAGAGGAGCCCAGAGCGGCATTAGATGACAGACCCTCCCTCTGACGCTGTTTGTCGGAGCGCAGCGCAGCGCAGCGCAGAGCGCGCAGCTCCAGACGCACCTGAGCGGCTCGAGCGCAGCACCGTGACCATCATCGTCCCTCACACCCACTCCCACTCCTGTCCTTATATATATATCTGCCACGTCGCCACCGATGGAGACAGAGACGCCGGCTGACATTCCGGCGGATCGTCGCTGACGCACATTTCCAGCTGCGCCTCTTTTTTCCTGCGGACAGATGATTGAGCTTTTCCACGCGATGAAAGCGGGACTTTCGGGAAGATCAGGAAGTCCTGGGAGCTCAGCGTGAAATCTTACAACAATGTCCCACACCATCTGCGTGGAAAACTTAAAGCCATGCTGCGAGCCGAGGGGCGCGATGGAGCGGAGGATCTGGAGCAGATGGACGCATGTCCCACAGCACACCTGGTGAGTCCTGTGGGTTTAAACTGAGCACAACTACTCCAAGAGTTTGGAGTCAGAGAACATCAGGAGAATGAGAAGAATAAGCTTAACATGGCTCCTTTATTTTTCTTTTATTTAATGGCTTTAACTCCACACAGCTCTGAAAGCATCTCTCTACCTCCTATTGTTTCTGTTCATTATTGCTTGGGTCAAAAACCCAAAGAGCATCCATCAAACTGAATTGTTTCTTCTACACTCTAAAACTACTTGGTTTAAAAGCCAATAAGGTGTTGTTTTAAAAATAAATAAATATAATAAATATTTAAACTTTTTGGATTTAAGAGCTTCCATAGTTAAAAGACTGAGATTAAAGAGTTCTTATGTTATTAATTGATTGACTTTTTTGATCTCCCAGTGGAGAAATTTACCCCCACTGCCCCCATGGGGGTGAAGTTAGATAACTCTAAAGTAAAAACAATTTTTTTTCCAAATAACCAAAATCATCCTTTATTATCTCAAGCCTTTAATGATTTTATTCATGTGTATTTCAGGGTCAAACATGCTGCCTTCTCTCATTTTCAGCTTGTTGGAGAACTTGTCTGTTAATCTGGTTAAACAGGCAAAAACTAAAAACACTATTAGCTACTCTTCATCGGCTCAGAGTGATTACGATAAAAAAGTATTTTATTTGTATTCGATACGTGAGTTATTTGTGCTCTTCTATAAGACTAAGCTGAGAGTTGATCGGATGGTTCCTTCTACATGTTTGGATTCTTCTCCATCTTTAAAGACTCCATTATTTTCCCTCGGGTTCATCACCACATCATTTGTTTTTCCTTTTGTATATTTTATTGTGTATTTAAATAAAACTCTCATTAGCTTCACATGACTTCACATATGAGTCCTGTTATATGTGATTCCCATTTGTAACACATGTGTAACATGTGAGAAGCATGGATGTTTTCACATGTTCAAATGTGAATCACATGTAAAAACATGCAACTACATGCGATTCACATGTTTTTGCATGTTATATTCCCATTTGAAGCACATGTGATTCATATTTAAGATACATGCATTTGACAAATGAGATTAAAAAAAAGCATAGGAATCACCTGCTATTGCCTTATTCTCACATGCAAAAACATGTGAATCACATTAGATTCTCATCTGAACCACATGATTCACGTTTGAAGTTCATGTGCATCACATTATGTAAAACATGTCAATCACATTAGATTCTCATTTGAAGCATATGCAATTCACATTTCAGGCACATGTGCCTGAAATAAAAAATACAGGAATCTCCTCATCTTACATGTTATTCCCATTTGAAGCACATGTGAATCACCTTTGAAATACATGTGTATCACATATGTAT